CGTATGAAAGAGAAATGTGTTATTGAATTTCTCACTGCCGAACAAATTGTACCCATTGACATCCATCGACACTTGCTAAAGGTGTACAGAGACAATACAGTGGATGTCGGCACAGTGATTCAATGGGTAGTGCGTTTCAACAATGGCGAAAGTGAAGTGCACTACAAGCCACGCCATGGGCGTCCCTGCTCAGCTGCCACTCCTCACAATGAACAGGGCCTCATCCGAACAGATCAGCAGATAACGACCAGGGACTGTCAATTCTGAATGCTACAAGACGACGCTGACTAAGCTGAAAGCCCGTATTTCCCGAGTCAGGGCAGAGAAGCAGACAACCTTTTGCTTGCAACACGATAACGCTAGCCCCCATACCAGTTTGGCGACCACCGCGCACATTGCAAAGTTTGGCTGGACTGTCCTACACCATCCACCTTATAGTCCCTGTTTAGCACCTTCAGACTTCCATCTCTTGGGGCCTATGAAAGACGGACTACGTGGGCAACATTTTCCAGACAACGATGCTGTCATTGCAGCTGTAAGAAAGTGGCTAGCCTCTGCTGGGGCAGACTTTTATGGGTGCGGCATACAGGCTCTTGTTCATCGCTGGCAAAAGTGCATAACGAATGGTGGTGATTATGTGGAAAAATAGCTGTAAGTAGCTGAAATCTTGCTCTATTTAACTGTGTTATTATGATTTCTGTATGTTGTAGTTTTCTTTAAAAACAATAGGAGGCATTATATACGGAATGCCCTTGGTATTATCTAGATCTAATTACCATTAATTTCATTGTATTTACACAAAATACAACAAATTAATCAGCTACATATTACATTTACACACTTGATGAAACAAAAGACATAAATTCATCTACAGAATAAAAGGAATGTTTCAGCAAAAAAAGGTTTTAATTCCTTTTTAAATGAGTTAAAATTTTCCCTTCGTTTTATTTGATTGGGGACCTTATTATACAAACTAATTCCCATATTTATCACACTCCTCTTAAAAAGAGCTGTATTACAGTGCTGTACATGAAAATTTAATTTTTTTCATGTGTTATAATTATGAATGTCTGAATTTATTGCCATAGAAGCCTTGTATTTTTTGATAAAGCATGTTGTGTATCTAGTATATGTTTTTATGAAGTTTGGTTTGTTAGTTCTTACTGCCTGGATATGTTCCTTAAAACATGTTCAGAAACTTCTGCCAGTCTGTTCTACCTATTTCTGTTGACAGTCATTGCATTTTAGTTGGTAGATTCCACTTTTATTAAGGATGTCAATATTGATGCTCTTTTGGTTTCAGATGATGTCTTATCGTGTTTGTGGCTTTGAAGGATGTTTGTATGTTTGTATTTTTGAATAGTCTTGAGGCAATCCTTTTTTCTTTGCCAGTGTATGTATAGGTGGCCCATTTTTGTTTGTTTTTTGGTTGTGTATTTATATCTATGTGCCGGTCACCGTAGCTGAGCGGTCTAAGGCATGCACTGTCTTCGCTCGCTCGGAAGCCGGGATCGTGGGTTCAAATCCCACTCAGGGCATGGATGTTTGTGTGCGTTTTCCTGTGTTTGTCTACAGGTAGAGGCCTTGCGACGAGCTGATCACTTGCCCAAGGAGTCATACTGTCTGTGTAAGATCTAGAAAAACCGAAGTGAACGGAAGTTCATGGAGGTAGGCCTAGGCCCACTGGCCCACTGGGGCTGTAGTGCCAAGAAAAAAAAATTATATCTATGTGGTTTAATTTGCATCCAGCCTAATTGAGAATGACAAATTCTGCTTTGTATATAATTATACAGTTCCAGAAAGGAAATGAAATTGGGCAATCCTGAAGGATAAAAATAAAAGTGCATTCTATAATTATTGTACATATGTTCATAACTTTCTCATCTATAAAATTTTAGTATCATGACAGTATCCATATGTCATTCCACCACTCAGCAATTCAAGACTTTTTACTTTCTCTCATACATAGTATATCAGAGAAAGTATTGTTATAATGAAGAAAATCATCTGGAGGTTTTAATGGATTTATATGTTTTGACTCCATCAGGATATGAAAAAGTGACTTTTGGAATGTTCCCTGTTTGTATGTATATAGTGTATGTGTATGGATGTGCACCTTGCTGACCTTTGAATGACTGTATGGATTTTATTCATATTCGGTATTTAAAAGTTCATCTGTCATAAGTTGCCACCTGGTGAATGTGAACATTCTATCTCCAATATTTGGGCCTAAAAAACAAGATAGTGACTTTCTCTAAGTGGCTCCAATAATTCTGATTAAATTTCGGTAATTGATGGGGGCTACCTCCATAATTAAAACTACATATCAAACATGATTTTTTTTTGTGTATGTTCTATTGGTTGGGCATTTGAATTCAATATTTTGTATCCAAGGTAATTTGGGTGCGGTCACTCATATATGAGGAGGTATGTGCAATGTCTTTGCATTGCTTTTTATAGGTTCATTATCTTTAATTCAGTAACCATCAAGCGTGCAAATTTGAAACTTCCCTATTCTAATCTGGACCTAAAAATGCCCAGTGTTTTATGTAGATATATTTATCCTTTACATCTACAAATGAAAATGATATTTAAACCCACATAAAGAAAACAAATAAAAACTTCATTTCCTTTTCTTCCCGTGCTGTGTTCACGAGTGTGTATGATACCTTCCGTGCCAGTCAACATAGATCATGAAGCTGCCACTAGAAGCTACAAGAACCACAGCTCTGCAAACCCTTTCTAGATAGTGACTGGTTCACAGTCTACCTAGGGGTGCAGACACAACTTAAGAGTCAAACAGACGTTGGTTCATAGACATATCCTTTGCTAACTAAGAAAGTCACAATTTTATGATAAATGTTTCTGAAGACTTATCCTACCTACTGCTTTGTTAACAGGTTCAGAGATATGGCCTGTGAAAAACAGGATGTCTGATCATTTTGAGAGTTGGTGAACAGTTTGCAGACTTACCCAGGACCATTACTGATGGACAGGTTAGATTACTTAGAATTGTTCTGAAAGCAGAATAGATAGTTGAAGTAAGCCTGTAGCTATCTAACATGTAGAAATAACAGGAAAAATTTGTTGCTGTAGATTATGTAAATGTTGGTAGGTGAATGGGTCTGAAGCCAGAATAACAAGGTGAACTAATCAGGGCGCCAGATATACACTACCCGCATGTGAATTAACAAAGACCATTGGCAAGTACTTGTATATGAAACACTCTGAGAGACCACTGGTAAGTGAATTTTGTTAAGTGGCAAGCAAATTTAAATTGTATTTCTAGAGTCCTTCTTGTAGCTATCCATCACATGATAATCATGAGAATAATTTCTGTTGCAACTACTTAGATTAATATTATATTCTGGTAGTCAGTCGTTAACAATCAGAGCTCATGAGAAAACTGATACCAGCATAAATGTGTTTTATGATGAGAGCTGCAAGACACATTGAACTGTGAAGAATATGAGAAAACTACAAATTACACAAATAACAACAAAGAAAAAATAAGAAACAGTGCCTTGATAGCATGGGCTCTGACAGGATTCCAAGAAAGACCTGAAAATATCAACCAAAAGGAAAAAGAAGTTTGGCACAACCTTTGAAATTATCAAAAGATTCTGTTTTGTAATTCCATTATAGGTCTCAGCATGTCTAATACAAGAAAGAATGATAAATTACTTAGATTCTAGACTTAGAATGTCAACAATCTCTTATGTCACAGATCCACTGAAATAGGAATTGAACTGGTGACATGCAACAGTCATTTGAAGTTTAAGAGGGGTTAGACAATACATCATTGATATCATTACAGTGTATTACTGTACGGAAAGGCTTTCTCGTAAATAAAAGAATGATATCAGCAGTTAGAAAGGATACTGTGTGTTACTATCAGGCTTAATGGAATGGCATTAATGAAGTATTAGACTGAGGAACATTCTGTTGCATCAATGGCACTTGAACCTAGTAAAACTAATGTTTAAAGCACCACTGAAAAATTGGAGGGTATGGATCATCAGGTACTGGTGAAAGTCTGGCAGAAGTACTCCAGTAAGGACAAAAAACCATTACACTGTAAGATCCATAAGGTCATAAACATTTTTGCTGGGTTGAAAAATTTCTACAACTCTGTAATTGTACAGGTATATAAAAAATGGAGGTAAAATAGACTTAAGCAATTTATACTAATTCCCTTAAATATGTTATCTAACAATTTTCTGTCAAAGTTAACTCCATATATGAAGTTACTGAAGATAACCAGTACAAAGACTTTAAAAAATGCCTGTTACTCAGTAAGGAGAAAAGTCTTTTGTAACATTCTGACTGAATTTGGGAAATGTAGAGAACCATTTCATTTGATTTAAGATGTGATTGATTATCTGAACATTATCCATCCTCCAAACTTATTATTTGAACGTTTTGGAGACAGGGGTGAAAAGGTCACTTCAAAAACTGCAAAACATATTGGACAATAATATTAAAATACATCTTAGAAAAATAGGTTTTGAAGATGAGCAGTTTCATCAGACTCATATCATATTCAGTGGCAGACTCTGGCTTCTATTAAGTTAGTTCCATTTGTAATAGTATTCAGTACAGTGTTTCATTTCTCATACAGTTTGTCTTCATAGTTCTGAAAAAGACAATGTGCCCACATATTCAGGTTTATACAAATAACCAGTGGGCATACTTTATATATATGATTGTGATATGTTACATGAAATTTGAATACCCTCAGTTTGATTTATAGTTGAAGAGTATTACCTTCTGGTGTATAATGCCATGTAATCATCATAATTATTTTAATTTAGCATGCGATTTCTGCATACTTACCGGTTAAAGGAGTTTGCTGTTACCCTATCCGTACATCTGTCCATGCTCATTCATACATAACTAATTGAAATAAAACCAGTTGTCTTGAAATCAGCCAGCAGTCAATATAAACATATGGAACCAGGATTGAATTGGCTGTAATTGATAGGTATTTAATATTAAAATAATGCTCAGAACAAAATATGTTTATGGAATCTTTGAAAACGTTACATTAAATGCAATGAAAATATTCCACTTAAAATTGAACACAAGAAAACATCACACTTCGATCCATTTTGCTTTTCAATTTTATAACAGCTGTAATGATCACAGTGAAAATTCTGATCTACTTCCATGAACTATAATGTCAACACTGCAAGACAGACATTTCTTATAGAATAACAAGAGGCCATCTTTTATTTATACACTAATAAGGCATGGAAAGAGATTTTACTTCTATAAAAAGTCTTTGATTGAGCAGCTCAATTTTCAGATCATTATATTTCACTAGAAGCATGGCACCATTAAACTTATTTGTATAATTATGTCATGCCATCAAATTTGGCATAACTGGTGTTGATCCATCATATTGCACCTTGAAGAGGGATACTTCTGTGTGAAATCTGTTCCACTGGGTAGGCCTTCTTCATTTTGTGCCATATGTTTCGATTAATAATTGAACTTTAGCAATGTATGCCTCCTTTGCTTCGTCTTGTGATATTCCCTTCTTCTCATTCCAAGCATCCCACTTGGCCTTCCCTTTAAAGTCAAGAAGCCCCCCAGGTCTTGCTGGAAGCAGAAAGAATAAAAGTCAAATGAGAAAGATCACCAGTGCCTTAAAACATTTTTCTGTTAGTAGTGAAGGCATAGGATAGGTTAGGAAACCATCTCCATTTTATTTCACATGGAGCAACAGTACCATGTGGTTATTATTATTATTATTATTATTATTTAGAGAGGGTGGGTTTCCCCATGCACCGTGACCAGTTTGATCTATTGTGCTTCCCTCTATGATATTCTACCAGTCGCTATACCCTACCGATAAATGGTACGTACCATCAGTCCCGCCGAGCAAGCGAGTTCAGCCACTTGCTTAGCGGTGTCTATAATGCTTCCCCCATCTATCAGAGGCCTTAGAGACTATTGTTGGGCGGGAAACGTCCTGGAATTTGGCTCAGTGATCCCCTTTGAGGATATGAGGTTCTTTTACGTGCTGTAAAGCTACAACACGGGACCCACGGCTTAAAGTCCCTCCCGGAGGACTTGTTCCCTGAATTTTTCCGCCCTTAAAAATTCGACGACCTCCGCCGGGTATTTCAACCCGCGTACTGTGAGTCATGAGGTGGGAACATTACCTCTAGACTACGGAGGCCGCTTACCATGTGGTTAAAGCAATGCCTATCACCATGTAGTAGTTAGCACTCCTGCTTTGTGCCTGGGAGCTATTATGTTGGGCAATGTCTGTGTATGTATGTTGCTCGCTGGACAGTGAGGATCTGTTTCTGAAAGGGATATTACAGTAATTGTTTAGAGCTATGTTTCCTCAGGGGTAAAGCTGATCACTTGTCTACATGCAGTACCAAGATCAAGAATACTTGATACTTATATTTATGCCTTATCTTTTACACTTCTCAGAGCACAGATATATGCAGGGCTGTATTTACAGTTGTGGGGGCCCTAAGGCAATAAAAGAAAAGGTAAACCTATCCCTCTGACAGGCTGTGGAGGCCCATAGGGTTGTGAGACGTTAAGACTGCCACATTTCCTAGACAACTGGCTCAGAGATAGCAGTGAGGTTGTCAGCCTTACGCACTGGCTGCCCTTTACCCCCAGGAAGATTCCAGGTACTCATTTCTGTTAGAGGCTGAGTCAATCCCAGGGCCATAGTGTAGCTAAAAGGATTAGGTCAATGGGAAAATCCAATGAGCACATTGGGAATCGAACCCTCAACATTTCGGCTTGTAATATAGTGCCTCAACCAACTACGCTACCAGAATGCAAAATATGAGGCCACCTATAAATAACTACAAATTTAGATTATGACAATTAACTTTGGTCTCTCCAATGGCCTCTTCCCCTCAGGATTTTCTGTTACAATGTCTGCATTTCTCATCTCTCTCCTATGTGCTACTTGCCCCATTCATTTCACCCTCCTTGATTTGATCACCCTAATAATAACCAATAAAAATTACAAATTATGAACCTTCTCATTAAGCAAATTTCTTCAGCCTCTTGTCATTCCCTCTCTCTTAGATTCTTATATTCTCTTTTGCACCTTCCCTCAGACGCCATCAGTCTACAATATGCATTCCTTAATGTAATAGACAAATCATACAGACATTAAAAATATATGATATTATAAATAAACATATTTTGATGTTTACAATATTATATTTCAGCATCCTGTTACACTCACACAATATATATGGATAAATACCGTCTTAAGTGCAACAAATTTTTATTGTAGTAAAAACTACAATAAAAATTTGTTGCACTTAAGACGGTATTTATCCATATATATATTTTGATGTGCTTGCAATATGTAGATTTTGTAGACTGCACCAATTATTTGACTGTGCAATGTGATGTTATAAACCACTGATCCACAGGCCAGAAGAAACTGAGATTCGCAAGTGTAAATCATTTAGTTTTTGCACGAATTCCCAATTATCTTTATTATGTTGATGTTAATATGCTAATATTTTAACGATGCCAATTCCAGTGCATATGCTGCATATGTTGTAATTTAATAATTTTCACCTATGTCATAATGGGGGGAGGGAGGAGAAAGCATGAATGCATGACCTGGCAATTTGTGCAAATTGAAATGCGCGTTCACACGGATATGACCACGTCAATAGCTCGTAACATTGCAACACAATCTGATCTAGATAAGAAAAAGACGCACATTTAGGGGGCTACTAAAGGGCAAGTGGTTGTCCTGACTTTCCTCATTCTTTGGCTAGAAGGAATATGTTTAAAATTACAATTTTGAGAGTTACATGTTCTTTTGTGCGTATCTCACTAAATATTTAAGGGAGAGTAAAATTATTCAAATGGAAGTTGAAGAGAAAAACAAAACATGCATTTGATGTCTAATACACTTACTCCAAAAGTCTTATAATTTCTGTAATAAACAAAGGAGATTTTATGAGTATATTTTCCAACTTTTCATATTCAGATGCCAATAACGGCCTCCAAACATTATCATGGCAAAGAAAAGAAAAACAAAAGTTCTGACTTTAGACTGCATTAAAACTGCATTAGACTGTTAATGCAATGCTCAGTTCAATTCCTGGCAGTTCAAGGATTTTGTCTTCTCCACAGCGTCCAGACCAGTTCTGAGGCCCACCCAGCCTCCTATCCAGTGTGTACCAGAGGTAAACCGGCTGGGGAGTGAAGCTGACCACTCACCTCCATCTGGTGCCAAGGACAAGAATGATGGAGCTATACCTCCAATTCTCCCTATGCTTTCATGTCATATTGCTTAACTAATTAAGCACAGGGGTGACTTTACCTTAGTTACTACATCTTTTAATTAACTTATTTCTCTCACTGCGCTACACACTCTGTCTCTCTCTCTCTCTCTGTCTCTATAGCCCTTCGGACCTTGGCCGCCTTTTCAGTTTCTTAATCCTATTTATACTCCTTGGACAGCGGATCAGCCTGTTGCAAGGCCCCTACCTAAACACAGAATAAATGCACACAGACATTCATGACTCAAATGGGATTCGAACGATCCCAGCATTCGAGTGGGCGAAGAATGTTCATGCCTTATACCGCGGGGCCCTTGTGATAAGCTACTTCGCTACACTCCTGTTTGAAATTTGACTTTCTCTATTCGTAGCACTTTCCTTAATCCTACTCAGACTATCGGTGGAATTCCTTAGATAAGCGATCAGCTCATCTTAAAACCTCTGTATTCTTAGGATAGGACATAACCATGCCCCAGACACTGTCCAACCATTTGAGCCAGTAGATTGCGACCGTCAGACCGGCTTTAGTTAATAATCTCGCTAGAATTCAACGCACCGATTTTCTTCATCGGTAAGCTTGCATGCTGCGGACTGTGCCCCATCAGACATTACAAACACGTTTTATTCTAATGTAAATGATGTTTCAGTTTGTCTTCCTCAAACATGTAACTACCATTCTGCGTTACATTAACGACATCGACACTTACGAGTATTTACGTCACCAACCAAACTTTGCTTGTAAAGAGCGTACAGCTCAAGAAGTTCCTCCTCGTTGGGTGTAGCGTTCAGATTTTTAACATCCTCAGCAGCCTTATTGAACCTCTGAAACAGGATAAAAACAAAACACTACTAAGAACAAGTAATAATTAATCTAAGTGTAACATCTAGTGCTTCTTTAACAGGGATTCCTGTCACAATTCAAACAAAGTTTACTTCTCACAGTTATTTTTGGTGTGGACAGGCAAGGATGTATTCGGGATGTATGCGTCTCAGTCACGTCACTGGACTAGCTACCCTCGTGCTTTTCTTGTCGTAAGATCGCTAGTTTAAAATAGGCGACAACTGCTTATTCCCTCAGACTCTCTGGGTTCATTATCCTCGTATCCCATTCGATTACATATTGCATTAGTATAACGACTAGACTAAACGATCGAGGATTTGGGGTTTGATTGCTGGTAAAGGCAAGAAATGTTTCCTTCTCCGTAACGTCTAGCCCGGCTGTGGAGCCCACCAAGCCTCCTATACAGTGGTACCGGAGGCTATTTCCCTAGAGGAAAAACGGCACGTGCGGAAAACTGACCCATTTCCATTTAGTGCCGAGGTTAACAACGGTGGAACTATACCTTCATTTTCCCTACGCCTTCACGGCATGGTACTTAATTAATTAAGAGCAGGTAAAAGGTACAGGTAAAGTTCCTATGCTTAACAAAGTAAGCACTAAGCCATAAAGGCGTGTAAGAGAGTGGATGTAGGAGGTGAGTGGTCAGCTTCCAGCCCTGGCCACTTTAACGTCGGGGAAAATGCCCCCGGTACACATTGGATAGGAGGTTGGGTGGACCTCCAGAGCCGGTCTCAACGACATGGAGAAGTGAAAATTCTTGGACCCCACTGGGGCTCGAACCCCGACCCCTCGATCGTCCAGCCAGTGGCTAGTCGCTATACCGACTGCGCTATCCCGGCTCACAATTGGGATAACTTTACCTTTATTACCTTAATATTCGAGAAAACAGAATTAAATAACCGAATTAACAATGCACAGGATAATATTCTGGTATGCATAATGTTAGTCTGTTCACTGGCCTGTGAATCTCTTACAGATAAGATAATAAAGATCCGTGAATTCCCTATTCTTTATCGTCTGAACGTGTGTCCGCGGATCACTGAATTAATATTCATAATTGAATTATTCCACGTTGGAATGGCATGACACGGCCCGATAAAACGAGCTGTCTTGTACAGTCAAAGGTTTAGCTAGTTACTATAAAAAGTGGAAAGTTATTGGGGTCTGTATTTCTACTTTCTGTTGATTTACTCTCACGACTAACACGCCTAACCTCAGCTACAATCTCGTGCTGTCGCATTTATGTATAACCAATATATGTTCGTCGTAGAGTGCACTGCATACATCTAGAGACAGGCTTCATGCGCAAACGAAGTGCACCTTTAAGTACTAGTCTCAAATGTGTATTTATCCTTTCATATTTTTACTGTTTTTTATGTTCACTGACCCCAATGGAAACGTCCTCTCCTCCAAGCATACTACCTTCTCTTGCGTAAATACTAACATTTCACGTTTTGTTTTCAACGTTCTCCCGTATACTGCCACAAAAACAGTGCTAATTTAGTGAAAGTATTTAAACAACCTAAGCTGCAAGCCGGAAGGTCGCGAGTTCGGTTCCCGATGATGTCACTGGACTTTTAAATTGACGTAATTCTTCCAACCGCATTATGGTTCTGTGATCGACTCAGCCTCTAACAGAAATGAGTACCAGGAATCTACGTGTAGGGTAAAGAGCGGCCGGTGCTTAAGGCTGACAAATTTACCGTCATCTGTGCGCCGACTGTTTGGAAAATATGGGAGCCTCGACGTCTTACAACCTTATGGGCCTCCATGCCCCGCTATAAGGATGGCTTTACTTTATTTATTTAAACTTTCAGCGTGAGATATTTAATTGCCAAACAGAATGTTTATACTTTTAGATTCTGCATCCTGTTATGTGTTAGTAAAACTGTTTTAATAGCCGTCTGCGCAACAAGTAACTGATGAATAGATCAAGAGTTGTTTATCCTACGGCTACACCTTTACAGCGCATTGGTCATCATACAGAAGCATACACATCTAACTTAACATTGTATCTACATGAATTCCGCCATTACATACTTTTTACATATGAATTACATTTACATACTAGTCTGATAAACGCCCGACATTTAGAATCTGTAGTAGTAGCAGTAGCAGTAGCAGTAGCAGTAGCAGTAGTAGTAGCAGTAGCAGTTGCAGTGGTCATAGCAGTAGCTGTATTCTCTAATAAACAGGTTGGACGATCGAAGAACCCGGGTTCTTTTCCTGACAGAGGCATACAAATGTCTTTTCCACGTCGTCCCTACCATCTGTGGGGTTCACACAACCTCCTGTACAGTGGGTACAGTCAGAGTTGTTTCCTAGGGGTATACCAGCAGAAGCATGAAGCTCACCATTCATCTCCATCAAGAATGGTGGAGCTATACCTCCACTCCCCCACACGTCTTCTGGCGTGATGCTAAATTAAGCACAGGGACAACCTCACTTTTCCCCTTTATATTTATAAGGGTTTACGTGCGTAATAAGACTATGCCCAACAGGAACCATTTGATTTAACTTTTCGAAATTAGCACCATGACACAGATTTTGACATATATGTTTATATTACAACACCCGTTTAAATACTTAAATTTGGTCTGAAAATGGCGTTATATCGTCGAAACATGTAACTCAGATAGTGTAATAAATAATTACAATGTACAAGTTTTCCCCGAAAATGGAAGCAGAATTTTCTTACGAAATGTCAGTAATGACCAACCAGGCTATACTGTGTCAGAACTCAGAAGACAATATGAAGCTTCACTGACATGAAACCCTCGAATCTCGGACAGTTTTATTTAACTGTATAATAGGCCATGACATTTTTTGTATTGTCGCCCTCTGTCAAACGCAAGGCCTGCACACACAGAGCTTGTAGAGTCGGAATAGCTCAGTCGGTATTGCGAAGGGCTACGGGCTGGACGGCCCAAGTTCGATTCCCGACAGTGTGAGATTTCTCTCTTCTCCACAGCGTCCCGACCGTCTCTTGTTGCCCACCCAGACTCCTGTCCAATGGGTACCGGGGCCTCTTTCTCCGGGAGTAAAGAGATAGGGGCATGAAGCTGACCACTCACCTCCATCTAGTGCCGAGATCATGAAATGTGGAGCTATACCTCCACTCCCACATGTCCTCATGGCAAAGTGCTTAACTAATTAAGCACAGGAAGAACTTTTTTTTCCTTGGCACTACAGCCCCAGTGGGCCTAGGCCTATCACCGTTCACTTCTCCGTTCACTTCGGTTTTTCTAAATCTTACACATTCGGTAGGCCTCCTTGGGCGGGTGATCAGCTCGTCGCAAGGCCTGTACCTGTACACAAACACACAAAAACGCACACATACAAAATAAACATCCATGCCCTGAGTGGGATTCGAGCCCACGATCCTGGTTTCCAAGCGAGCGAAGACAGTACATGCCGGAAGAACTTCACTTTTTATTAATAAGGTCTATATGAATCTAAGAGGCAGGCCTATGCTGCAACACGATTATTAGACCGTAACTTTGAACCCAATACAGCAGACTCCTAAAAAATGAGGGTCTGAGGAACACCACGAAAAACCTCAGTCGCAACAGCCGGTGTTTCGGCCTAGATTCCAACTGAGAATTTCCCGAATGTGTGTCTACCCTACAGCGTTAGGCAACAGGAACCGCTCGGTGGGGTGGCCTCAGATGGCACAGCATTATGTGTAGCACTGTAATCTCATAAGGAAACACTGTTCAACGTCTTCGCTTACTTAGCAAAGTATTTATCTGTGAAGTTGGTACCGCTGTAGTGTCTGGGGGCAGAGTTTTGAGGAAGGTTTAAATTCAGACCACGTTAGAGGACGTCACAGGCGCCTTTCAAGCACAGCATGCAGATGGCATGGGTTTATTGGGTCCATATTGTTTTTATGCCAACAATAACAGAAAGTTTTGGGAAGAATTGATTGCATATTCTCCTTTGATACGACAAGGACCTCAAAGAAAACGACGCGTCCAACAGTTCCTCTATTGTTGCGCGTGTGTTCGTTGCAGCGATAACATTTTTACCGAGCCGTTACCTAGCAACGATAGGGGACACACATAAACGCAGAGATTGATGAGAGGAATTTATTAAATACGCCGTTTAATGGGCTGCGGTGCTATGATATATGTACATACCAACTTTCATTAAGACTGGTTAAGGCATTCATAAGTTAAGGGGAGGGGATACACATACACATAGACACACAGACAGCATGGTGATCTCATAAGCTTACCCTCTTTTCTTTTTTTTTTCAAAATAACGGCAGTAGACTCAAAAACAAACAAACAGGATGCAATGAATAACTTACAATTGGTACCTCGTTTCTGTAGCATATATGGCTAATTTATTTCCGGTAGCTAACATGTTTCCGCGAAAAGAGGGTAAGTAAATAGTGATATGGCCCATCACAGTGGCCGCGTAGTCTAAGGCATGAACTGTCTTCGGTCGCTCGAACGCTGGGATCGTGAGTTCGAATCCCACTCGAGGCATGGATGTCTGTTTGCGTTTATTCTGTTTTTGTGCTGTCCTGTGTGTAGGTAGCGGCCTTGCGACAGGCTGATCCCCCGTCCAAGGGGACCTACCGACTGTGTATAGATTAAGAAACTGGAAAAGTGGCCAAGGTCCAACAAAAGGACTGTACAGCCATAGAGAGAGAACGTATAAAAATACTCCACAAAGGTCTTTGTTTCATTCTTGTTTACTTACTTTCTTGGTCTGTTCATTGTATTTTTTTTCTCCATGTTTGTGTTGCATAAATACTTAAATCAATAAAATATACCTAAAACAAACAAAAGAAAAGTCTGCATGACCAAAGCCATGGTTACACAGACTAAGTCTTCTCACTCCATATTCCAGTCGGGTTAGATAGAAAGTGAATTCATAATCATTTCTTGTAAAATATTTCACTGTGTGTAGTGTATAATAAACGTAAATTAGGTAACTTTGGCCTGTTCAGTTTCCATCATAAAGGGCTGTCTAAGCATTTGTCTGGGCAGTTGTGATTGCATCATGGGTTTAACGTTCTTGCGGCAATGACTCTGAAAAGTGCGATCTTCTGGGATGTCACGCCATGTATTCTGATAAATAGTAACGACATTTCGGAAGAATGTATTGCCTTCATTTTAAGGGTCGAAAGAAGTGTAAGCCATGTAAGCTGAGGCATTTCCTTCCCACACAAATTTCGCTGCAGACATTTTTCACTCCGATAAACAATGAATGAGTTCCACTCTAGTTATGTGCAGAAATTCATCTACATCTTCATAGAAAGTGTAAATTATATATGTCCGATTTTAACCAAACTTGGAATACATCAACAAATTTTAGTAGAACTTCCCAGTATCATAGTTCATGAAAATCTGTTCATTGTTTCTCTAGCTGCTTCAAGTCTATAGATGGGCGGAGGGAGTGACTGTAATGGATGCTCTGAAGTGTGCCTAAAAATTGAACAACTTACAATCAAATTGAAACTAATTTCATTCAAATTTTGATGGTGGTATTTCCTGCAAAACCGACTTAATGCTTAAATTCCATGACGTGATCGTCTTGAACAAGGAAGTATTTTCTCCACACATATGGAAATGAAATACCACCACCATGACTCTGGCCTCAGATCCCCATTTGTTATACCAAAGTGAACCACATGAAAGTTACACTGTCTTTACAGTACCGGCATCTTTAAAAATCATCATCTTGCATTTTGCATATCAGAAATCCGGCAAGAAAACTGTTATAGTGCACCACATGAATTGTCTTGTCTGTGCGAACAGGAAGTCCGGAAGGATTCAGCTCTGGAGCTACAGGATGTACTGAAGAAAGCTCGCCGATATATAGACGGCATGTGACGCTGCGCATCTGTCCCTGAGGAACAGCTCACCCACAAAGAAAACCTGAATGCTCTACTGTGGGACCGAATGTTGAAACTACAGGGCGATCTGGAGGTAAGACAGGCTGGGTTCAGCCACATTCATAATACAACCATTCATTTTTTACCATACTCTCATTAAGAAAGAAAGTAGGCTTATGAGATTAATACTCAACTTCTACTTTTTGAACCGACTGACTGATTTACACTAAACTTAACGCAAACTTTATGCCATAACAGGCCAACCCAACATCATAATTTGTAATCTCGCGTTTTAGAAAAAAAAACAATAACCTCTCACGGATTGCAGGACTCTGTGGTCAAGTTTTGGAATAGGCAGGTAACAATGGCCATATTTAAAGATATACAGTTCTGTTCTAGTGACACGTTCCTTTTTCCAGCTTCCATATCATGGGACAGTATACAAGGAATGTAAGGGTACCAATGCCACAAATTCATTAGACTTGATATTTTCTAAAAAATGTAGATGTAACATTGCCACAAATTCATATGACTTGATATTTTCTAAGAAATGTAGGGGTAAGATTGCCACAAATTCATATGACCGATATTTTCTAAGAAAAGTAGGGGTAAAATTGCCACAAATTCATATGACTTGATATTTTCTGATAGCCACGTACTAAAACTAGTAATTTCTTACATCATGGGTCTACCGCTGTAACGATATCCATGCATGATAGTGACACATCCAACGTACTGGAAACATAATAGAGCAGTGTAATTCGTATTATGAAACCAGAAACATTTCTGTTACACTCAGAGTTCAACTGGAAGGTGGAAATTTCATTGACTCTGCCTTCCAGCTGGAACAGGCAATTTTTACACCAATTTTGCTGAAGCAGAAAAGCAAATTACATAAAATACACCATCAGTTATATATTATTCACATGAGGTCCCTTAACTGGCTGGTCTTCACAGACGGAAGGACGCGTTAGTTCACTACCAAAATGACTAGTCATTAAAATCATTCCGTAATGACATAACACGTTTGTCTCTGGTGTATCTGTAAAATCTGTCATAATAAACCCAACAGTAAAACAAGAATTCCCGTAGAACTCATAAAGTGTATTTCCCTATTACTCAGGCTTCAGTCCAGCTGTTAACTCTTTTTTACCAAACATTCTCCTCGGTACGGATACACACACACTCACCCAATCTTTTGTCTCTCGGGGTGACAGACCAAACCCGTTTCAAAAGGCTGAGACAACCTGTATGCACCAAAGAACTGGCCGAAAGCTTATTGGCTTCTGAGATGTGATGCCTTAGAGTTTGCTAGACATGTAACAATGTTTGTAAGACATGCAGTACCTACCTTCAGGGCCTGAAGATGGATGCAGCAGTTCATCCGAAACGTTGGTACCTATGTACAAAATTACATGGCGTAACATCACAGACAACAGTAGACCTATCTTCATAGTCATCGCCATGAGAAATGGCTTGTTTAGTTTGGGGAAATGTTTAGGAATAAATGTTTGTCAGTTGGAATACTTGTAGCCATAATGTAGGCGTTCTTAGTGCAGATGTAAATTTGATACAGATCTATACCGAAAAGTCTCAGTTAAATGTTAGTGGCAATTGTGCGAAGTTGTGGCCTGTTAATACTCACCTCGTCCAGGGACATTGTCGGAAGCAGTCACTCTTTCCTGCTCTCTCAAGTAACAGGGGATTTTTCTGAAAATGAAATTAGCAATTTTAAAATCTGTTGCTTAAATAATTAGACCAACATAAATTTAGCGATCTCACTGGAAGATCATTGCCCGTTTCACCCAAACTGGGAAGCGTAAATTCTGATCAGTGAAGCAAATCAATAGTGTTCCTGTACCCTTAGTAATGGAGTTAATTTTCGAATTATATAACTCTGGGATGTAACGTCGTAAAGTCCTTTGAGAGTTAGCCGAAATTTCGAAAGAAGGTGGAGGCGACCCATGTTCCTCCTGGCCTGAGATCCTCGTTATGTGGCCTCGGGGCGGACCGACAGAAAACACCATTTCCATCGTTATAGCTGAACAATACTTCGATTGTTGCTTACGTATTCATTGCCGCGGTAACCTGTTCACCGGGTCGTTGCCCAGCAAAGAACATCTACTCTGGCTCCGCTATTCCGGCTTTCAGGCGTCGTGTCACAGTATTGTGATCTTCCAGGTTAGGACACCGTGTACTGTGGTAGATGCGTATCAAAGTTTCGGAGGAACAGAGTACCACCATCTTCAAGGTGGATTACAACATGGTGCCATATCCCAGAAGACAGCAATATAAATTGAAATGATTTCTGTATAGACTGTCACTCCTCTGTTTGTAATTTATTTAGCGACAATGTCGGCAACTCATACATTACAACGCCGAATGATAATGAATAATGATGTGGAGGGGATATTAAAGGAAGTGACTGTGACTTAACTTAAGGCATTGACTCGGCATTTGCCTTCAGGGACTGAAGAAATCCACGAAAGACCTCAATCAGGATACTCTATGTAAGATTTGAGGTTTTCACGGCGGTGACTGTGAAGAGTGCCGTCTTCTGGTAGGTGGCGCTGTGTAGATCTTGTGTGAACAGACGTTTCGGAGGGACGTATCACCTCTATCTTCAGGGTAGAATAATCCGCAAGCGAGGAACCACCGTGAGCAGGTGGCTGCAGACTGCTGATTTTTCTACCCCGAAGATGGAGGCGATACTTTCCTCCGAAACGTCAGTTTACACAAGATCTACATGGCCCCACATCCCAGAAGACGGCATTCTTCAGGATACTCTGTGTCACTACCGAGATTCGAAGCTGGCACCTTCCAAATGCAAGTCAGAAGCATTAACTGCGACAGTCAGTCCTGAAGTTTCAGCTAGACAATTGAACTGTCCTGAAGCGAAGCAGGACAAAACATAGAAAGAAAATGAAATGAAATGTGCAGTTTCATTGAATCCTATGAATAAACATTTCCGCTGTGTAATCTCCCATAATGGCAAACTCCAGGAATTACATTGTATTTCGCGTCACGGCCGAATAGGTCTTTACGATCTCTTGTGTGTTTAACCCATCCACGTATCCATTGTAGAAGTCTACATTATCGATTCGCTATATTCAGTAGTGAAAAAGTCTTACGAAGCAAAATAGCGCTACTAAAGTAAACATCGGTTTGTGTATTGCCTGACATGTGAGCATATGTCCTTGCTTTCTGCTCCTTCCTGACTCCTGCACATTTAATGTTACTCCTGATGGTGCACCATAAACCACGAAGGTTTATAACCGATGTGAGAACTCTTCATCTTTGGCAATGAAGAGTATGAGCTGGTGATAAAGAGTTCTGTTGTTTGAGGACGGTACTGGAAGGGTACTGTTGCTCATGAGGACGAAGGGTTCAGTGGTGAGTGCGAACAGTGGGCCCGATGGGGGGTTCCCTTGCCGTACTGCTCTCTCATATCTGAAGGGAGCTGTGAGCGTACCGTTACACTTGACCATCCCTTGCGCATTGTGGTATATAGTTTCAATGTTTCTTTTAAAAGTCCTACCAAAGCCAGAGTTTTGAAGAACGTGACAGGTATAGGAATGTTCCGCAGTCATAAGTGGAGGACTGACTGAAAGGTAGAGCTTCTGGTTGGCGTACTCTGTGTGAACTCTGTGGAGGCAGAGGTTAGTGTGAATACTTCTGTTAGGTACACAGTAACTTCGATCGGTGGGCCACGCCATAGCTCAAGCGGTTAGTTGCTGGTTTCCCACCTCGGCGGCCCGTGTTCGATCAAGTGGGATTTGTGGTGGACAAAGTGGCGCTGAGGTATGTTTTCTCCGAGTACTTCTGTTTCCCCTACCAATCTTCATTCCACCAATTGCTCCACAATCATCCTCATCTGGGGCTGGTATAATAGGCCAGAAGTTGCCGCAGTACAAGGGACTTAGTCCCACCCCACCAGCAATAATAATAATAATAATAATAAAAAAAACTTCGATCGGTAGTGACAAGCGCTGGTTGCACTGACGTTATCCCTGCTTGCCAGGCAGCGTGTTATGAGTTTGTATTCCGTATTCTGTGATGTCACCGGTCTCCAGTAGGACAGATTTTTACGGCCTCCTTTTTTTGAGGGACTAGGGTAATTACTGCGTTAGGCATTGAGGGAAGCAATTTTTCTTCTTGGATATTCGTGTGTGCTACCCGCAGCAGAAGAGGGCCCAGTCTATCCCAGTATTTCTTATAATAGAACTGTGATTCCTTCAAGCCAAGGCGATTTATGAGAGCGGTAATCAGTTCCACCAGGGTGAAAGAACGGTCGCATTTTTTTTCTTAAACAGACAGGCGCACAGTACGACAGGCTGGAATAAAGTACGTAATAGTATGGGAAAACCTGTCAGCTTTAATTATAGGCGAAGTTGTCCGTTATACTGTACATGGCACTGTTACATATGTAATAGCATTATGCTGTGTCGTCGCTACGTCCTGACAGTATGAATGTGCAATATTAACAAAAACGTGACGAGTAACTTCCTTTGCCTCTAATCATTGTGACTCGCTCGTTGTCACAAACCGCGTGCACATTAGAATATGCATAACGAAACGTGCTCCTGACTTCTCGTGACTTTCCGCCTGTATGCAAGCAGTCAGTTCACTTTTACTGGATAAATGGACATACAGAATTGACAAGGGAATGGTCTGATCCGACACGTCGAAACCTGCCTTTTCTCTCTCTCTCTCTCTCTCTCTCGCCCACTGCAAGAGTACACACAACAAAATCCACTGTCAAAATTTTAGCTGCTAATACGCACTGTAAGTATTTTTTAAAAATTGCTGAACATGACCAATATTGTAGCCTGCCAGACCCTTGGAGATATGTCCACCCCTGGCAGAGCAACACGCAACACGCAGCACGGCCGACTCAGCCTAGGCTGGAGTTGTACAAAACTCTGGTACAAGCGGTTCCGCGTATAGAAATATTGAGTAACTTAGGCAATTTAAAAAAAAAATACTTGCAGTTCGTATTAGCAGCTAAAATTTTGACAGTGGATTTTGCTGTGTGTACTCTTGCAGTGAAAAAAAAAATCAAGGCAGGTTTCGACATGTCGGATCGGACCATTCCCTTGTGCGACTCCTTCCTCAAATGTAATTACATAAATTTAGAATTACTGGGTTTATGGACTTTGTGCATCGTCCGGTATGTAAAAAAAAACTATAGAACACAACATTTCAGAAACTGGATCTCTTTCCGTCCTCACCTGAGGGGGCAGACACCTACACTATTCTCCAGCTAAACCTGTACTTTGGTTTTCATAGACTTGGTCTGTTGGCTAGGTTTGTCGCGTAAAATTTCCACCTTCATTTCTATCTTAGTATCAGGTCTGTGCCTGCTTTATCATAATTTTTATTGTACATTTTTCTTGTTATCTCCCTTTGACAAATAATGGTCTCAGGTATTTATGTAGCTCTAGTTACACTGACATAGGCTGTCTAGTGATTGAGGCTAGCTCTTTCTAAGGAGCCCAACTGAGTAGGTGACTTTCCCCTCTCAGCTGAGGACGGAAACAGATCCAGTTTCCGAAACTATATGTTCTCTAGATTTCTAGAATACCGGACGAATGAAAAAGTACAAAAACCCAGTAATTCTCGGTGTTATACATCATCGTCAGAACCCTTTTGGTTCTGCTTATATAGATTTATGTGAGACTTGATGCCCTCACTATAAAGAGAATTATCTTCCGGTATGTAAAGCCGCGTAGTCTCGCAGAATGTTTACTGACATTCGTGCAAAACATAAATTTAACTTTTACAAAGAGTACATACAATTATCTTATTACTTTTCATGTAGTCGTTTGTGTACTGTACGCACCACGCCATGAGGATTCGTGGCTGATCCCTCCCGAGAAAAGAGCCCTGGTACCAATTTTATATACCACTATGGGGACCCCAGAGTAGATATATACTCGTACATAATGACGAACAGAAAGATACAAGACTCTTCCAGGGGTCGAGCTCCGGTCGTCCAGAGGGTAACCAATCTCTTTAATGACTTATTCATCCCGACTCATGTCTAGCCTTGCATATATTTCGAGATATATTTTGATAGTAAAGAAATGGGGAGACAAAAACGGCGTCATGTTTAATACAATGATCACACACATTAATTAGGGCTTCATGAATGTACACATGTGAGGTGGCAGTATGAGAAATTGTACGCTTTGCCACCATGTTCCTTATAATTAACTGCAACGACTTACGCAACGTATTGTAAACATTGTGAAACTAAAAACCCTGAAACTGAAGTATTTACTGTAATTTTAAAACAGATATTTCTACAAGAGGTGAGGAATTCTATTATCTTACAGACCCCGAACCGCATCTAGATAGAACTGCAGGAACCTGACAGTGATAACTGTGTTAACCACGACAAATGTTTCTTAAATTACAGCTTCAGATTGTTAAGCAACAGGGATGAGAACCCTTTCGGTATATCACACTACAGCGAACTGAAAGATAGGCTGAAATGTAAAAGCTTCCACTTTGTAACCAAATTTCGAGTTAGCGTTTAGATTCTAAACCAGGAGAATTTCGGATATATTCTAAAATATATCCGAAATTCTCCTGGTTCGAATCACAGGCAAGAGAGCAACAATCCTCGCTGATGCTTTTCGGGTTCTCTCCGGCTGGCCATGTTAATGCTAGGATTTGTCCGAATCTGCGAGGATCGTTAACTGTCACATTCAGAAAAAATCATAATTATCCCAAAATTTCTCATTCAGTAATACTCAAACTGCAGTCACAAAGAGTATCGTTAAAGAAACTAAGAAAATAAATGTAGGTTTCTTTTCAATCACTGAGCTACATGAGGACATTTTCCTTTCTCCACGTCGTCCAGCCCGGCTCCTGGGCTCACCCAGCCTCCTAGCCAATTGGTACCGGTGGTTCTTTCCCCGTGGGTAAAACGGCTGGGACGTGAAGCTGACCACTCTCCTCCAACTAATGCCGAGGTCAAGAAAATATGGATCTACGCCATCTGTGCTATTACAGTATCATCTCGTATATCCTATTTCATTAAGCCTGTGTACCAGTGGTTCTCATTCTTTTCTGATCCACGAACGGCTAGAACAGCGGTGACTTTACCGAAGATCGGTTCACCTGTCCCTACTAGTAGAAGTGTTTTATGTCAGCGGTTCGTCGCACTGCTGTATTCGGGTCAGCGTTAAGTTTGCAATTGTTTCTGCATACGATGTATTGACATGGCAGTTTTTTGCGCCATTTTACGATGCTGTCAGTAGCTAGAAACACGGCGAATTCTACAAAATGTTGGGGGAAATTTTTAAACTGACTCCTAGAAATATTACGCAAATTTGACCTTTAATAATCCGCGGTTTCATGTTTACATGCATAATTATTACGAGGCCGGTCACGGTAGCCGAGCGGTCTAAGGCATGCACTGTCTTCGCTTGTTCGGAAGCCGGGATCGTGGGTTCGGATCTGTTTCCTGTGAGGTACCAACTGAATTCTTATATATTGCCGATCACGGTAGCCGAGCGCTCTAAGGCATGTACGCTCGGAAGCCGGGTTCGTGGGTTCGAATCCCACACAAGGCATGGATGTTTGGTATGTGTATGTGTTTATTCTGTTTGTGTTATCCTGTGTTTAGGTAGAGGCCTTGCGACGAGCTGATCACTCGTCCAAGGATTCCTACCGTCTGTAAAATGATCAAAATTAAAAAAAAATCTCGACGCCGTAAGGTATAAGAGGAACGGATTAAGTAAGTAAGTAAATTATTATGAACACTTTCAGACACGCTTATTTGCTGAATAGTAATTAGTACGTTTACATGCTATTAAAATTGAAGTAACGTCATAATCTCTGACACTGCATATTCACGCTTAAACATTATGTACAGAGACATACGAAATAGTGTATTGTCAGTTAGGTCGTTGGTGTACAACGTAATCGTAATTGGCTTACAAGTAGCACCTCTCTGCAAATAAATAGTACGCCTGATCAGGGTCGGATTTAAGGGGGGAAGTGACCGGGGGCGGTCGCTCCCGGCCCTCCACAAAACAGAAATATAATCCACAGATGTTACTGAGACATTTGCTTCTATAAAATCACGGAAAGTTAGTTTGCATTGTTGCATATGTGGTAGTGGAGGTGGGTGCGTTGTTGTAATTGTGTAGTGGTCATTTGTGTTCCATAGTTACAACAAAATGATGTGTGTTCTCTCCCCCAACATGTGAGTAGGACAGAACCCCGATTGTTTTTGTTATGATATGTGCGCTGGCGAACTAGGAGCGATTCAAATGTGAGGCCTGACAGCAACAGAGTTTAAGCCATAGCTTAGAAGACAAGCACTGCGAGTGAGCCAGGACTACCACACCCTTAGGGAGAATACTTGTAATGCCTGCATATTTCATCAATTATTCATTATTTTCTATGTAACCTTTCCGTTGGCATCTGTTAATTTAACATCCCCATACACACAATCTGCTTACCGCTCGGTGAACCTAATTATCCTTAAAATTCGGGCATAAAACAGTATTTGTAGTTATTATTATCAATACTAAAGTCATAACCTAATTTTGTTATTACTGATAGGGGGCCCTCATATCCGTAAATCCAGTCCTGCGGCAAATGTTCAACACAGCATATTTAGTGGCCAAAAGGAAACACGGCACTACATGTAAAATATCACCTTTATCGAGTGTGAATATGAGGAACATAGGCCTAATATGACGCTATATAGAATTCGCCAGAATTCAACCGCGGACCGCCGTTTGCCAAACACTGCTATTATATTTTTATATTGTGCATTACATTTCCAGTTAATCAAAGCACAGGCTGTTTTAATACAATTTTAAAACTCTCAGAACATGCGTTCTTATGCACCAGTTACACGTGTGGCATATGCAGATTACATTACACAATCACTACGTCCTTTTACTATCGAACATTCTGAAATGAAAGTGTGTGTCATATTTACCTCTGAGGAATGAAGCGGTGCTCCTGTCAGAATTTGTTTGTAGGAGGAACGCTTACAGACCTGTAGCAAACACGAAACAGCTGTGTCGATCCAGCCTTCAGTTTTCCGACAACGACCTTGCCCAAGCTCAAGCAGGGTTTGTCACAGTGGCAGAAAAACGAAGCGTGGCTAGCTGTTGGTAATGGTTTTAGCTACGACGCAAGCGCTAACCGTGGTCGAACATAAACCGGCATCTGTGAGCGGCAACATGAAATGTGCTCCCACTTTCGGTGATGTAAACAAATCTGCAAAATGGCAGCAAGGAAATAAACTGTGTTCTTCATTCATTTGTAATGATTTCCAATTGATTTACATTTTAAGCCTCTGGAGAAAAAGGAGAAAAGAAAACAGAAATATCTTAATCTCTGCCACCATGTAATCTGCAATTACCAGGGCTTTTTTTTTTTACGTATTGAAACCATTGAAATTGTTCTTAGATGCTTGTAAGAACGATTAATTCTTCAAACCGGTATTATATAGGGTATTTGACAATCTGTTATGAAGTATACTTCGTATAACCTATATCACGGCGCAAGAATTAGCTCTCTTCAGTCTTCAAGCAATTGGCTGTCATTATATTGATTCACTTACTGATGAAGCTGAGCTCTTCTTGAGGAGAAGCCAAATCTGCAGCTACTCAAAAATTTCCCAGCATTTTACGGAAGGTTCATTACTGTGTTCACAAGAGCCCTCCACTGGTCCCTGTCCTGAACCAGATCAATCCAATCCATGCCATCCCATCCTATCTCTCTAAGATCCATTTTAATAATGTCCACCCACCTTCGTCTTGGTCTTCCCAGTGGTCTCTTTCCTTCTGGCTTTCCCACCAATATCCTATATGCATTCATCTTATCCCCCATTCGTGCTACATGCCCTGCCCCATTATATTGACAGATACTCATTATTCTCTTATTTTAAGATCGTTTCCGATGGCTGGCACCGAAACTCTGGCTATTGTATTGTATTGTATTGTATTGTATTGTATTGTCCTGGAGAGGGTGGGTTTTCCCATGCACTTAGACCAACTGTTGGTCCATTGTGCGTCCCCCTATGATATTCTACCAGTCTCTGTTCCTTACCGGTACTGGTGAGTGCCATCAGTCCCGACTCAGCCAGCGAGTTCGGCCTCTACTGGCTCAGCTGTATCTCGATGCTTCCCCCATCTACCAGAGGCGTTAGAGACTACTGTTGGGCAGGAAATGTCCTGACTTTGGCTCAGTGGTCCCCTTGGGACATGAGGTTCTTTTACGTGGTGTAAAGCTACGACACGGGACCCACGGCTTAAAGTCCCTCCCGGAGGACTTGTTCCCTGAATTTTTCCGCCCTTAAAAATTCCACGACCTCCGCCGGGTTTGAACCCCTAGACTACGGAGGCCGCTAAACTCTGGCTAAGTGAGTACTTATCTAATTAACTGAAAAGTGCACCATCAGGGGGGGCTCAGAAATAATTATTTAATCATCAGAGCAGTTTGGTCATTCAATGGCGTAATGGACAAGAGAGGAAATGTGTATGCCATATTTTAGAAATGAGTTTTCTGGATGCCATATGTCCAGTTGTTCTTAGTTTTCGAATATTTCTGACGAAAATCTTGCAGCAGACAATAATGTTTCAAGAAAGACCTTCAGCTACAAAGGCAATTAAAGATTTGAGGTACTCGCAGCGGTAGTTATGAAGGGTTCTATCTTTCTTGGATATAACAACGTTATATCTCAGAAGATAGAACTCTTAATTAGCTATGACCGCTTCCTCCGCCGTTTTGTTTACCCACTTCGTAATCCCAAATCGTTCATCAGGCAAACATCATGTGATGTTATATAAAATTATCACGTGACATAGCGTCACATAACTTAGGAATAAATTGATTAAAATAACTGCAGACCATGCAGTTAGATTGCAGCGTGTGAAAATAGAGGCTATCACACCGGTCACTTTGAAGACAACTGTTTCTTGGGATGCGATATCATGTAATTGGAATGGGACTACAGTTTCGGAGCGACCGGAAGGTTAACGCAGCACATTCTTCCGAAACTTCAGTGCATATATACCAAAGTGTATGGTATAATATACCGTAAGCAGTACCAGCCTCGGTCACTTTATGTACAGCTGCTCCGTAGAAATTTTCCTGGGAATTGTCTCATTTCATTCAGTCCAAAGCAATCCCATGCGCCTAGTTTTAAATTTCTTCACACAGGATTATGATCTGACGGTATATAGTCTGCATACTGACATCTTTAAATACCCAGCAGAATGACTGAACGATGGCGGTTAAATACAGAAGACCAAGATATTTATTTTTATAGAATGAATGTAAGGATAAACAAGTACATGGGTCTGTATCAACAAAGTTAAAAGTTGTCCCTGTGCTTAATTAATTAAGCACTACGACATGAAGTCTTATGGAGGAGTGGATGTATAGATTCGCGTATTCTTGACCTCGGCACTAGTTGGAGGTGACTGACCAGTTCACGCACTAGCTACTTTACTCACGGTACCCATTGTGTAGACGGTAGTGTGGGCCCCAGAACCGGTCTGGACAAGGTGAAGATAAAAATCTTTCTCCTGCCGGTACTCGGGCACCGACCCCTCGTTTTTCCAGCCCGTAGGCACTCTATACCATTCCACTTGCAGAACGAAAGCATAGACTATGTGTAAGGCCGCGCCATAGCTCAGGCGGTTAGTCACTGGCTTCCCACCGCGGCGACCCGGGTTCGAGCCCAGGTTTTATTATGTGGGATTTGTGGTGGACGAAGTGGCTCTGGGACAGGTTTTCTATGAGTACTTCGGTTTCAACTGCCAATCTTCATTCCACCAATTGCTTCACAGTCACTGTCATCTAGCATTTGGGGCTGGTACAACAGGCAGTAAAATTAATTCAATTCGCTTAGTGGGGGGTGGAGTCTGGCTGGGTCCACTCGGCACGGCGGCCACTGATTGGCCTATTGTAGATGCCCCGGGTGACTGTGATGATGCAGAATTTGGNTGTCCGCAGTACCAAGTGGACTCAGTCTCACCCCAATAATAATAATAATAATAATAGGAAGAAAACTATGTGTAAAATGGAAGGATAACTAAATCCATGAGTCAGAAATGAGGACCCGAAAGTCATTTTTACTTACTTACTTAATCCGTTGCTCTTATACCTTACGGTGTCGAGTTTGTTTCTTCATTTTAATCATTTTACAGACGGTAGGACTCCATGGACGAGTGATCAGCTCGTCGCAAGGTCTCTACCTAAACACAGAACAACACAAACACAGAATAAACACATGCACACACCAAACATCCATGTATTGTGTGGGATTCGAACTCACGATCCAGGCTTCCGACCGAGCGACGTCAGTACATGCCTTAGACCGCTCAGCTACCGTGACCGGCGAAAGTCACTTTGCCGATCAAAAATGTTTCTGTCCCTAATGGGACACGAAGACTTATTTCCTGTTCATAAAATTCCCAAACTGGGAATTATCCGGAGCTAAGAGAATCCAGTTCTTATTCATCCTAATAACATCTGGAGAAAGGTAAAAATTATGAAGCACCATTTTGTTTAATTCCCTCCATCTTTATGACACTCCCTTTCGCTTAGGTTCGGATACTACTGGTAACACTCTGTTCACAGATACTCTCGCAGTATCACGATTACAGTTTCTTTGGATATGGCGCCAAACCCTGAAGGTGTATGCATCAGGTTTGTGCCAAATATTGGTACCAGTCTACGAAACTAGATGGCGTAACACGTCAGTAAACGTGGTCCTCATGTTCACCGACGTGAAAACCACAAATCTCACCTTCCATAAATCAAAGACTGTAATTATCGTTATGTGCATTTTAAAATCTAGGTAAGACTAGAGATGTCCCCGTGCTTAATTAATTAAATACCACACCTTGAAGACGGATATGTGAGTGGCGGTATAGCTCCACCATTCGTGACCTTGGCGCTTGATGCAAGTGAGCACTCAGCTTCACGCCTGGCCGCTTTACCTTTGGGAAAACAGCTCCTGGTATTCATTTAATAGGATGCTGGATCTGTATACTGTGGAGTAGATAAGAACATCATGCCTTTGCCGGGAATCAAACCCGGTCGCTCAGCCCGTAGCCCGTCACTATACTGAGTTATCCCGGATCTATTCTAGGTCTTTAGAAATCAGATGAAAGATCCATTATTCTGAACGTAACAGCTGCAAGTAAGGAGCCGGGATAGCGTAGGCGGCATAGCGACTGGCTACGGGCTGGACGACAGAGGGGCAGGAGTTCGAGTCCCGACAGGGTCAAGAATTTTCTCTTCTCCACGCCGTCCAGACCGGCTCTGGGGTCCACCCAACCTCCTATCCAATGGGTACTGTGGGCTCACTTCCCGGAGGTAAAGCGGTAGAGGCGTGAAGCTGACCACTCACCTTCAGCTACTGCTGAGGTTAAGAAAATGTAGATCTATACACCCCCCCCCCATATGCCTTCACGGCGTAGTGCTTAATTAGTTAGGCACAGGGACACTTTTATTTTACTTTAATAGCTGCAAGAATTCTCCGATTTTAATCCACTTTTGACCTCTTGAATAACGCCAATTTGTCATCAAGTATGTGAACTTGAAACATAATTTACATACATTTGTTTGTATCTATGTGTTATTATCCTGCCTTTTATTTTGCTATAGAATTATAACATTTTTACCTAGTATTCTCTGCGTTTGTTTCTAGTCCATCACCTCACAGACATCTAATACTTTTATGTAGATGTTCTATAATTACTTATGTGTGCCCCCACTGACTTAACATCAGAATGAAGTTGAGAAAACTGTTTGCAGACTGGAAAATTTTGTCACAGGATAGGATTAGCTTGAGGACATATATATTGACGTCAAATAACCTTCGGCTTTCATAACAAGAGCAAATTACTATCATGAAATACGTGGTACTAGTTGATATCATTAGACTAATTAATCTAATCAGTTGCCACTGCATCGCTAAACAGCTTAAGTATATGAATTAGCGTCACAGTTCGCTAGGCTGTAACTTCGGCAAGTCGCCTGAAAAGTCCCCTCCTCCCTTAAACAGTTCAAATTGTGGTACCATTAACAAGCAGGCGGTTTGTAATCCCATATATTCACATAGTAAGCTAGGGAAAAGGTCACCG